AGAATAATGAAAGCTCCACAACCAAAACATCCAGCTCACAGAACGAAACTCCACCACAAACTGACTATCATATAAGTGTAAAAACTGTGTTTGTTGATTTAGATTTATTTTAGTATGTTTATTTTCTGAATGCTTTCCGACGTTTATTCAGTTCATAATGTTCACAAATTGTAATTTATAAGACCCAATGTAGAGAAGAGTATATGACATCCGTAGATATCAATAACACGACTGGATTATATGGTTTACTATAAATTGAGCACTGGGTGGAAAAAGTTAGTAATAATGAAATGACTATAATTTTTATGACATCCCTACGAGTATCAATTTATAATGCTCATGTTTTGTGAGCTGTTGCAAGTCACGTCAGAGTAAATCGATAAGTAATTAAGATGAACGAACACAATATTTAAACATCAGTAAAATTAATTTCTACTCACTGGTATATCATCAGAAGTTATTATTATAATTATGCTTCATCATCGGGCACACGTGATTTGAACAGCTTAGTGTGTCGCTGCATCACTTGTCTTTACTGCGTTAGCTAAGTGATGTGAACTCATAATGGTTTATTCATATCAGTTGACGCATATCGGTTTCATACATTTCATACTCAGCTATAGTCAGAATAAAACTGTAGTTTAAACTTCATATGCATGACTTGTGAAAAGTGACTAACTCACACGAAGTCACAACTCCCCGAAATATCTTCAAGGGTGGTGTTAAACCGAATGAATAATTTCGAACCTGTTGAAAACCCTAATCAACATGCCACATGCATGAAAGATCGTTCGGAATTTGTAGAATCTTTCATCTACCTGAGCCCTCCTATTGATAAAAAGGAGTCCGATGGATATATTTAAAGACTGATGGCTAGACAGGGGCTGAACTTCTCGATTTAAAAACAGCTGATACTCAAAACAACTATCAACCAATCGATATGTCAGAATTTTCAATGCGAACGACAGGGAAAGTAACCGATGAAAGAACATGTTGCACCGAGGATTGCAGACAAATGTCAAGAGAATGGACAGCAATTTGAAAAAGCTGCAAATGACAGCCTGGTGTCTTTACTCAACGATGAGAATTAAAGTAGCAAGTTTCTAGATAACAGTTATAATCTTCATTATGGTAGCTGTGCGTTTTTATAGAATATTAATCCTTTTATTCAGCCATGACAGCTAATTACATCGTTATTGTATTGATAGTAAATTTAACAAGGTCATTTTCGAACTTTATCAGATGTAACTTTGATGTGAAACTTCATAAAACATATTTGTTTTACTTTTTCAGTTTTCGTTTTATGGATACTCTTTGAGCGTTCTTTTAAGTATCCCGGGTTTTGGTGTGGTAATTTAGTAAGTTCTCGTTTTCTCACTGTAAAAGTTAATTATGTATCATTGAGTGGTATGTAGTGATATGCATGGGTTTTAAGAAACGGTCTTGTGTTACTATGTTTAACTATGGCAAGTTCAAAATTTTTCAGCACGCCTAATATTGTAATGTGGAATTAAGAAGTATATTAGATATGCGACTTATTGTGATATGTGATCGTCGATAAACATGAAAACATTATTTCTATTGGGGCTTTATCACTGTGAAATTCAAGACTTTACTCTAGGTACGAGAATTAAGCGCAATGTAATCAACTGATTGAATTTTGGATATATAACTAGATTTATGTATTTGAATACATAAGTGTGTTATGATAATAATGACTTACAACTTGTTTCTTTCTCTTTCTATCATTTTCCGAAATTTTTCTGGAACGAAAATAATCTATCATTTCCCCGACATTTTAATTTTTTAGTGAAAGTACGACTTGCCATCTCACAGTTCATGACACTCTTTGTTATTTGAATGCATTTATTGTTGTTGCATTGCTAACCATTAAAACTTAAACGAATTTGCTATTTAGTGAGACAAGTTTTACTGTTCCTGTATTTTACACGCCTGAGAGATTTCATGTTTTGCAGTAGATTTTTTCAATTTTCTCGTAATAGCATTTACCACACTAACGCCTATCTCATAATCTGCACCCATATCTTTTATAATGCTACTGTCAACTTGTATATGACACTTGGTCAATAATGATTCGTTTAAACATCTGGACAGACATTTAGTATATGTTAGGTCCTCAACATCTTTAAATACACTGGGCGCTGAACATGTATACATCTTATTAAATCGCTTGTTAAATCTATCGCTCTTCATTCTTTTATCGCTGGGGAAGAGATAGTCCTGACACCTACATTGATAAATGCAGCCAAACATAAAACTGCACACGGAAATCTACAAAACTCTGCTGACCAACCGTAAAATTAGTTGAAAATCTTACAGACTGCCAAGGATAATTATACTGTGCGAATGTACGCTATGCATCTGCATTTATTTGTTGTTTTGATTTAGCATAATTAAACAATCACTATTTCCTTTTTCATAGATTTTATCAACCTTAATATTTTGCCTACAACTTATATGGAATTATTGTTACTAACTTAGCTAAATTTCGTAATATCTTGCCATTATTCTCTCGTTCTGCAGTCATATATATATATATATATATATATATATATATATATATATATTGAACTGTATACATTTTACTTTGGCTGGATGCTAGTAAAACACTTTTGCTTTGTGTAGTACATGAAGAGATTATTTGTCCTTAGGTCTGCTGGCATTTCGAGAACTACCCTTTATTATTTAGTACCTGTTTTTCTGTATTGGTTGTCTTATTTCTCCTTGAACCTTAAAGAAACGTTTATGCCAGTCTAGGAAGAACCTTAGAGGCTATCAATGGGGTTAGAACTGGACATATAACTTGGTTACCAGTGGTGATGATGGCGAGAAATCTGAGTTCTTGTGAGCAAATACGTAGTGTGGTTTCCGCGCACCAAGGCCATTCACTTTACTTTCACACTAGATTGTGTTAGCTATGGCAAAAGTTTTTAAAGGAACGAGTAGAAAGCAACTAGGAACACGGTCTTTTCCACTTAATAAATAACGGTTAGTCGATTGAAATTATTGAATTAAGTTTCACCAGCTGTCGTAAAAAGTTTTGATCTTTTGTAATAGAAACACTTTGTGAAGAGGAAATTTATCGTAGTACAGTATACTGTTATTTTCGTCAGTAAGATTGAATTATCTATGGTTTATGATTTCTATCGAACCTAATTATTTATTATTGAAGAAAAAGAGAACAACATTATTAATGATACCCTTATGTTCTACATTCTTTAACTTTTTTTAATAAATATATTTGCTATAGAAGTGTTTAAGAAATTTTTTCCAAGATGTATTAATTGAGCTATCGGTAGTTGCAGCTTCACAGTAACAGACCATGTGACGCGAGTTTCAGCGATAACTTAAGTCGCTTCATGTATTATTCTTAAAAGATAAGATTAGACGTTCTTATATAATAGTATTTTATTCACAATCAAGGGATTTTCATACGACGAGCATGCCTACAGCGTAAAATGGGTAGACTTTCGAAAAAGTAAATGTAGAGGATCGAGACACTACATGGTTTTCATCTAGCTGCTGAAAAACGTGGTAGCATTAACCAACTGTAAGAGTACGTTAACTACATTAGTGCGTGAATTCGGAAATATAAGGGAAACCTGAAGATATCTAAAACACTAGAAAAAGACATAATTCAACCAAGTGAGTCACATGGCTAAATATTATCTGAAAGCACAATCTAAAATTTCCAGAACAAAATACCAAGAGATGATAACAATTGGCGTTGATTGTCACTTAGCTACTTATATAAATAGCCTACTCTCAGTAATGCCATATTCATATGTACGAACGCTTAAATACCCGTTTCACACACTATTTCTCTAATAAAGTTATCAAGATTTTTTTAATTTTCCTGCACAAAACTTATTGAACTCCTAAATTTATTCTAAATTGTCTCGTGTAAACAAATCTTGATGTTGTACAATCCGGTTGACAGTGAAATTGTCAAAGTTTTAACCCATTAGTAGTATCGAGACAGATAAAGTAATTTTTGATTTTTCACTTAGTATAAGTTTCAACCTTTTATGTAATACATGAGATAATTACATTTAATTATGGGTAAGAAAGTTGGTTTTTAAAACCTCAGTATGTGATGTTAAAATGTTTAAACTACGTTTTATTCGTAACCATCTTGATACACAATGATTTATCTTCACTAGCTTTTAGAAATTAGAAGCAGTGCTGCTTTAGTTCATTCATTATATTATGAGAGAATAATAACATTGACAAAATTATTTTTTCTTACAATAAACCCAACATGAGTGAGTATTCAAATTAACATAAACAATACATCACAACTGATAAAAAGTTGATTGAATTCTTCCGGCTGAAAATAGGCATCCTCTTGGTAAACGATAGTATAGGTATTATCAAAATATGTGAAGTAACTTGAATTTTGTGCGACTGTCAAGGTTTATTTTCATATGCTTCATCACTGACAGCCATTTGAAAGTTTTCTAAGAAAATCATCTTTCATCTTAATCCTTAAATAAGACACACTGCTAGAATGCGTTTTCTTGCATGGAATTCGCATTTGAACAGTCTTTTTCAAATTCTGAAGCTTTTACTGATACTACAGACTGATCTAAGTTAGAAATACAGTGAAAACGTGAAAAAATTTGACAGATATCTCTTCCTAGTATGGAACTCGACAGTGCACATCCATCAGCATACATCCAGTACTTGTGCACAATCTTTTAACCCCTAGACCACAATTATACTTCTAGGATTATCTCTTTGACTTGGAAACATTCTATTCTGTACTATATTGAACGAGCACAAGCACTTGGTAGACTTTACAATATGACAAAGTAGTTAAAAATATACTTTATTCAGCAATAATATTGTTTAAATGTTTTCTTGTAGGTGCCTTACCTAAAATTAGCGTCTATATAACAAATATTTGATGCTATGTTGAACATGGTCCAGCGGACGGAAACCTTTTAAAAAACAATCTTCTCCAGTACTTATCTTTTATGTCAAAACCAAGAGTAGGTAAAGAGTTATCCACACCGACGGGTTCAACGATTTCTCGTCAACCCCTTGGGGGATGTGAATACCCCTCCCAAAGGGCTGACTTGGGAACAAGATGTAATATTTATCCTCATCAAACTGTTCAAATGAAAAGTAGCTCTATAAATCAAATCCCAGTATGGATTTCGACTACTTCTCGTCCTGGATTGAGTGGTTTTAACGCCGTGTCTCCAAGAGGACGTCGGACTCTCTCCCCACCCCAACCTCCACCCTTACCTCCTCCACCACCTAGTCCTCAACTTGTGCCTTTGAAAGCTCGTTTAGCGAGATCTAAATCGACTGCCACAAGACCAGTAACTTCCCGTCCGGATTACTGCCAAAGGCTTCGTAAAGCTAGTGATGGTGGAGCTCCAACACGCCTTACAAACTCAAGCTCAGTTCGAACAAGATCTACCTCAGAATTACGATCGAGAATCGAAATTAAAGACGAGCCTTCAGAAAGTAATACAGGTATTTTTTGTTATATGAATATGTGATTGCTAATTCTTCTTAAATTCAGTTTATGATATTTTGTAGAAAATAATTTCATGTTAGGTGTAATGCTATCAGATTGATTCTCTGTCTCATCAGTCGGGGTTCTTGATTAAGTAGATATGTTTTGCTTATCATATTTATCAGTAGTGATCCACTTATCTCCATCAAATGCTAGATGCTAGATTTATAGATTAAATCCAACAAATTTATCTGATGATCAATTTACTTGTTTGAATACAAACCTTTGACAGAAAACTTATTTTTGCACTGAACAAGTGTTCAACCAATAATTCCGATTAAATTACGGATAAGATTTACTGTACAACTTGACTATCCATTTGAAGAAACGTGATAACTTGAGTACGCAATATTTAAGTTGTTCTAATTATTGAGACTTACTGACTACTTCTGAGTATTATTATCCTAATAATGAGTATTTGATTAAATTTGATCTTTTCGCTCTATATAGTTTCATCATTCAAGTCTCAAGAGTTTACATCCGTAACTTAGATTGTAGTTCTTATCAGAGAACTTTCATTCACATATACGCACAGAAGATATGAACAAATAATATTCGATATATGCTTACGTAATAAAGTGTTGAGTTGATATAATTATCAGTCATTCTCTTCTTTATACTTAACACTGTTATGAAGTTAAAATTTTAGAAAATTTGATGTTGCGATTTGACTTTTGGTTGATTGTAAATTAACTTTAAAAGAACATTGTGATGAAATAAACGTATTTCCTTTTGACTGATCTACATGTATAATTACGAAATTATTATTTTCTTACAAAATAACACTTCAGAAATCTACTATAAATATGAACAATGTGTAAATATTTTATGTTAGTTTATGATGGTATTTAGTTCGTTACCATTTTATAGTGTCTGGAATTCTTGATTTCTCCTGATAAATAACATGAGGTACAAATCTATCATTGTTATTATTGTTGAACGATATATCTGTAGCTGTAGTGTATTATCCTTTGCTTGGGACAACACATATTTATGAAACATCTTATTTGGTAACTATAATATGTTCATCAAAGAGTATTTATTCTCATTAAATTGTTCTCACTAGATTGTCGTACTATCTACAACTATAAATAAGTTTCTAAGGGTTTACAGTTGATACAATGAGTTTGCATAAATACATCATCTATTCTGTTATATTTTGAAAAATATTGATGAATATCTAGTCAAACAGTACAGAATGTTTTTTTTCAATCGATTTTGTTGAACTTTTTTAGATAATGGAGAAAAATAATTTCACTGTAACTATTGGAAAAATATTTTAAAAATGCTTTTCTGTAATTTAATTATTATAGGGCGGGTGGAAACAAGTGAGGAAAAACCAAGTGTACTGACGGTTAACCCGAGTGCTTTCCTTCCTATTGCTCATCCTACTGAACGCAGTCCTGTTTATGTCTGCCTTGCCAATGTTGCCTTTTTAAGTTTATCACTATTGGTTACTAGTATATTTTCTACTATCTTTCTGCCATTTTGCCTGATTGCTTGCCTTATAAGACGTACTGGCATCTGGTTTGCTAATGTCTTCCAATATACCACGTGCTGCCAATGCGGAGGTTTTCGTATTTCAAATAATACACTTCCTTTAATTGAAGCGATAATATCACGTTTATCAGCTAGCCTTAATTCTACTCAAAGATGTAATTGTTTTACTGATAAACAGTTGGAAAATTACTACGGCGACTCATTGAAAGCTCTTTCATCAGCCGAGCTTCGGTGGCTTCCAGCTCTTGAGTATAAATACGAACCCGATTTGAATGGAACAACGTGCCCTACTTTGTATTATTCAGGTCAATCACCTTTGGTCATTATATGCTTGAGATTTGGTGCACCAGGACTAAAATTATCACGCTTACGTGAGTTGATCAGTAGCCGGCTACTTTCTCGACCATCCGATTGTTCATCAGTTGCTTCATCTTCAAGAGGTTCTTGTTTAACAGATAAAGGATTTTCAGATACTAGCAGAAAACGCCGTGAAAGCTCGTGTATTCCACCTTCAGATGCTCGTTCACGCTTAACACAATGTCTAACATATATATCAACTGGATATGCATGGAGAGAATGTATGGCCTTCCAACTTGAAGAACATGTAGTCCGATTGTCTCCTACTCTTCAGAGAAAGTCAGAAGTTAGTTCATCACGACCGTATGGATCAAAATGGGAAGACAAGCACTCAGCAAACTCTAAGATGATTAATTTGGAAGTGCTTCTTGACGAACTGAGTGGTCTACCTTTAAGACTTGATCGGCCGCTCTGGAAGGCTCATTTGATGGAACACTTCTGCGAGGTAAGATAATCTGCGTTTTATAAATGCACTGATAAAATACCTTCTTTAAAGAATTTAACGCTTATTAGATCGAAAAATATTTTGCTGCAAATGGGTTGTCCGTAGAATATTTAAATAATACATGACAGTTGTTGTGAAATAGACTCATTTGCCAAAAAATTATATTTTAAGTATTGTCTATAAATATTGCAATATTTATTTATAAGTACCATTGAAACTTATTTTCTGCGAGATTAAGTGATTTACATATATTGTTGAGTAACTAAGAAAAGTTTGGAATAATTTCATAGAAGTGTCTTTGGTTTATTTTTTACAAATAGCTATATCATAGTTACCTTCAAAATATAAATAAGAACATACTGTAGTAAGAGCGACACATATAATCCAATTAATACGAAGTTTGCAAGTACTTACTAGTTGAGTTTACTCTTTCAACTTATTTTTGTGGAGTTAATATTAATGCATTCATAAAAAAATTATCAGTTAACATTTAAAAAATCCCTGACAGTATTTATCATTATCATCAGAAATTCATAAATGGTTTGCTATAGTGAGACGATAATAGTCTCTTTAGCTCGACCTTTAATAAACCTTGTTTTATCAGTGATCAACCATATGATCTCATAAATACTAACTTCAGAAAATAATACAACATGTAGTATAATGCTTCACTAGGATAAAGATTCATATAATTTTTTTACACTTTTGAGTAGTTTTTGTACTGACAGTGTTATGTGTAGAAATACTTGGGGTAATCAAGAAAACATAACTAGTTAGAGATGCGAACGAAAATTTGTATTACTTTGTAAGAAACAGTTATAATATTTCGGCAAATATTAAATTTTACAAAGAACTTGAAGAAATCGGTCACTGTTGTTATCCTGAATATGAAAAGTCTGAAATGGGTGAGAAGTTTTTGATGCCAATAATGAATTAATTTCTTGATGGAAGTCATGTTTGTAAATTCATTTGTTTTCACTAATTCAGATAGCATCAAGGCCATGACTTTACCAGACAAACGATTCACTTGGTTCCCTTGTATTGATCACTTTGATTTTAAGAGAGCAGGTGATCTGTTTGACTTCAACAACACAACTTAATCTGTCCATAAACCGCCCTTATTTATCAATTCTCCCCTTGGAAAATTTTATTACCGCTTCCTAAAAATAAGTGCTACTCATGGGATGCGTTGATTATACTGTCCGAAGTTTCCTAGATGCTATTTTTAACTTCTGATTGTCATGTCTATTTCGAACTGCTGTCTAATAATGCAGTCATTAACATTCGGAAAATATACTTACGGCCGGAATAGAAATAGACCAGGTTTATCGATGAGAATTTGGATAGCTTATCCAATTCACGCTTACGGTCACTGATTCTATAATATTAACATTCATTCATTTTATACATTTGATAAATAAAACGTTCCACTGTTCCATCGATTCATAAAGGGTGTGAAGTGATAATGTCCTGAGTGTTATCGGAAATTTCATTCAAGTAGGATGCAATAATGCTCTTGGTTGTTGATTCAAATGGTGGTTCCTCTCAACCAAACAATTCATTTACAGTAGATGTACTTGAAAAATACTGCGAAAACTTGTTCCATATTGTCGTTAATAATTTTGTTAATGTTTTCGCTATTGATAAAAGGAATTGGAATTTTTTAGCGATATTGATATAACTGACTTGATTTTCTACGTCGAATCCAACCGTTTATCCTAGCTCTACTACGATAATCTAAAAAAGAAACTGTTGCTCGCCTATAGCATATTAGAATGAAGTGGGAAATGTTTAACTTAACATCATAGAACTATACTATTTCTTTTGATAGTTATTTTAAACTTGTAAAGTATAGAAATATAATACATTGAGGTTTAATTTAATTATAGTTGTGAAAAAATTATTATTTATATATAGCCAATAGGATCTGTAATGTTTCTTGTCGGATATGATATTCATTTTTTCGAAATCCCAAGTCTTCCGTTAAAAATTAAATTATCATTATAGTAACCGAAAGCAAATCATAATGAGATAGATGCATTTATTTTTAATCTTGATATTTGTTTCAGGTTACTTACTATCCTATATTTCAGTAAGCTAATTAACTCATACTTTTTGGCACAAAAATAGATAGAAAAACGGAACAATTTATTGATCTATGAGGCAATGAACCTTTTGGTTTACGCTACTTGGATTTATGGTTTTTAAAAAGAAATTTTATGTCTTTGGAAACAAAGGATTTCAGGGTTTTTTAATTGCGCAAGTATTAATTAAGCAGCAATTTTTAAAAGTAGCCCCTTTGATATATTTAATCAAGTATAGAGGATTTGTTAAAATTATAGTGTTTACACAGTTGAAATCATGAACTGATCTTAGCTAGATCACCACTGAAAACCTGGCACCACTGGATGTTGTCTCCTAGAGTTGTACTAGGATGCGATGATAATGAGATTCAATCCGTGTTGGTTGTGAGACAGTTAACCACCTCAAACAATAGAAGTGTTGCGCAATTTTGTGGAGTGATCGAGGTTAAAACATTAACACTGTCAGATGCTAGCTCAGTTGTCTAGAGAATAAACGTTCACGTGGAGTCGAGTCTGCACGCTGATGAAGAGTCCAATACTAAGACAAGGTGGTCATCCGATGCTTCCAACTTTTCAGAGTTGATCTAGCTAATATTACTTCGTTATTTAAACTGTGAAAATTTTGGTGATCTAAAATGAAGATAAAATTTATCTGCACTTTTTTAATTATGCATTCCATGTCATATATATGAAATGGTGTTCTTACAAATCGGTCAGATACGGTAAATGGAGATGTGTGTAATATGAATATGTGCACTGAAATTCAAGTTATATCAAACAGTTGGTCTATGAATCATTTACATCCGGTTGATGAAGCTGTCTACTTGTTTCCATGCGTATATGTCTTCCAGAATACCTTCTTCATATCCTCTTTAGTCTTCTTAGTGGGTCGATATAACTATGAATCATGTAAGAAGCTTATTTCCTTACCATAGTTCCAGATTTCTTTTGCCTATTAAGCTCAGACAAGTAGATTGGCTGAAGTGAAGTCATTTTGACCAATCCTTTTACAGTATTCAATAACCAGATTTATTTCATGGGTAGTGAATTTGTAAATTTAAAGAACTGTTAATATGATGGTTAAAAAGTCTTTAGATAAGTACATAATAACTATTAAGATTTCTTATATGTGAGAAAGAGATCTATTTTCGACCTGATGCTTTAGGTTTTCATTTCAAATTCAACAGGGTGGTTTAACTCGAATCTCAGCTAAAATAAAATATCTCTCTCATTGTTAAAAACCTGCTTATACATATCTAGTATCCTAAGTCTTTTTTCTTTATCAACATCATCTTGTTTACATTGAATGTATATAATATATATATATTATATATATATATATATATATATATATATATATATATATATATATATATATATCAGTTTTGTGCTGCAATGTATATATTTAGATAGAAAATAGTGAAATTTTCACAGCTGTTCAAAATGCGTAAATCGTTCATCAGATGAGCGATTAAACCGTAGATGACTTTTAATTTTGTTTTGTTTAAAAAAAACACAAAGGAAACAAAGCGAAGAACTCCTGCTGTGCTGTTTTACTTCTTATTTTTGAAAAAGGGAGAGGGAAATTCATAACATAACTGATTATAAAATATTGAAAGGAATGTGTTTGCACTATCGTTGCAGTAAACCGCTCTACTTGAAATCACGAGATCTGCTTCCGAAACGTATCACATGTATATATATATATATATATATATATATATAAACGTTAATTGTCCAAGATCTGTAAATTAAGATTTTAAAGCAACCATTCTTCTTGTCTTACTTATTCCTATGACGTTTGTTGGCTATAGAAAGTATGAAATAGACTGATGTTGTAATTGCTTACTAGTCTTACTTATTATTGTTGTTAAAGATGGTGAGGGGTTGTGGCATATGGCTGCATTGCGGGGATTCGTAAATTTTATAATTGTACTTATTTGAAAATTATGTTTATTATGTGGTTGATTAAAGAAGAAGAAACAGCAATTTTTTTTTCTGTTATTTTTTTTGATGAAAAGTTAGTGATTAATGTTTATCATTATTAAATCTAAAAGAAAATCGCTCCAAGCAGTTTTAATCACATGTTTATAACTAAGAGCTATGTTGAATATTTTAAGAAATAATTGAATAATTATTATTTTAATCTCAATAATAAGTTTTAAACATTTGAAGCATTTTAAGATAATCCATAGCTTTAACTTGAACTGCTAACTATTTACGTCATTTACACTAGTACAAACTAACTATCTAACTTTAATAAAAGAGCAGTTTATGTTCATTGATGCAACTATTTGATTTAGTATTTAACACCTAATTAGCTAGTATACAATTGCAAACTTTGATTTTATTCCCGAAAGATTTCATCGCTAAGATTGTCTGTCACAAAATGAACGGAAATAATAATGCTGTTTCATAATAGTTGGTTAATATTTAACTTATATTAGTTTGAATGACTTGCATCACAAATACATTAGTAAAGATTATTTGTGAAAATTGCAATTGAACTAATCCTAGCGATTGAGATTTAAAAAATTCTAATGTATCCTCCAGTAAACTTCTCTAAACTACATCAGGAAAAATAATCGAAATCGAAATTATCGTATGAATGAATATATTATTAATCATTATTATTTTCACTTTATTCAATACAAGTAAATACCAATATGTTTTAAGATATAATGTGTCGTTACTTTACATACTTTTTTTCTTTAAACCAGTTTATTTTTACTTGAAGACATTTATGGAAATGATTAGAAATTACATCAGATGTAACTATCACAGATCGAGTATACTGCTTACTAAGTTCGTTCTGTTTTGATATAAAGTCTTTGAAAAATGTTTTTTTAAAAATAGATAGTATTCGTAGATACTTTTGATTAAGTCGCAGATGCTTATAAGGCATTCATGGTGTAT